CAGGAGATTTCCAGAGGAACCCTTAGGATCTTCTTTACAGAAAACAATCCAAACAACAACCACAAAACCCAAATAACAAAAAACTAAACAAACAACCACAACCAACCTCCAAACCAAAAGACGCTCACATAGCGATGTGAACCTCAAACATTATTTTGTGAAACTTAGTGTCTGAAATATCCACTCTCTATAAGTTCTTGGCTCTAGTGAGTACCTCCATCAGCCAGGCCCTACTTCCTGAAAGCTCCTCAGCCTTTACCATTGCACCATGAGCTAAAGACTGCACGTGATGCAGGGGGAGGCATTTCAGGTTTGAACTGTCATGTAACGCTCTCTCTCTTTTTTATTATTGTTAATTACTCTTTATTCACTTTGTATCCCCCCATAAGCCCCTCCCTCCTCCCCTCCCAATCCCACCCTCCCTCCCTCTTCTTCACGCATGCCCCTCCCCAAGTCCACTGATAGGCGAGGTCCTCTTCTCCTTCCTTCTGATCTTAGTCTATCAGATCACATCAGGAGAGGCTGCATTGTCGTCTTCTGTGGCCTGGTAAGGCTGCTCCCCCATCAGGGGGAGGTGATCAAAAAGCAGGCCAATCAGATTATGTCAGAGGCAGTCCCTCTTCCCATTACTATGGAACCCACTTGGACACTGAACTGTCATGGGCTACATCTGTGCAGGGGTTCTAGGTTATTTCCATGATAGTCCTTGGTTGGAGTATGAGTCTCTGGGAAGTTCCCTGTGTTTAAATTTTCTGGTTCTGTTGCTCTCCTTGTGTGGTTCCCATCCTCTCCAGATCTTACTATTTTCCACTTCTTACATAAGATTCCATGTACTCTGCCCAACAGTTGGCCATAAGTCTCAGCGTCTGCTTTGATAATCTGCAGGGCAGAGGCTTTCGAGGCCCTCTGGTAACACTCTCTCTTAAACTAAGCGTCCTAAACCTACATTTTTAACTTACGCAAAATGTAGTGCCTGTGTTGTCTAGAAAATTTTGAGTCTGGTGGCTCATTTTCCTGCCTTTTGATGTGTGTGTGCATGTTGTTTCTTCAAATTATACTAAAATTTATTCCACTGATTAGTGGGTTTCTGAATAATTATGGGGCAGAAACTCTTTGTCATAACTTTGTGAACCGTAGCTTCAGCAGATGGAGAGGGTTACCTCTGTCCTTGAAGTAGGAGAGCGCTGGAGATAGTTCAGCGGCCTGGGACAGCGAGTTTGGTTAATATACTCCCTACAGTAAGAATGCACTTGGCAGTTTCTTCCCTTTGCTTGCATATATTATGCGTACACACCCAATCCCAAATCGTGTACTTACAGTCTTAGAACCCTCTAGAACCTCTTTCTCACCCCATGTCAGGATACAAGCATTCCTGTCTCTAAGAATGGTGTGTCTTCTCACCCCCAGTAGCAATCAAATTTAGACAGTTTCTAAATTGTCAACTATATTCCCACTAACTCTGCGTATGGCGAAGGCTGAACTGTGTTTTCTAGTATACTTTTAGGAGAATTTCCTATTTACCAGCTTATGTCTATGTGTGATTGGCTGTGCATATAATGCAACCAAATGCATTGCAGGAAGGGACGCGTGCAGCAAAAGAAATGATTACGTATTCTAATCTATCCATCAATACAGAGAAATATCTAAATTACACACCCCTTGGTAACCAACTCCCTCCTCTTCTAAATCCCATGAAAAAGGCCCAGAACAATGACTGGGGCCCTGAGTACTCTCATTCCCATGGCCCACTGTCAGTTTTGATGGCGCCACCCTCTCCAGTCTGTACTCAGAATAAAGTTATCTTGCTGCTTTTGCAAGTCTGCATGAGGCGCTCTTTTCAATTCTTTGGAAAAGAGGCCAAGAATCTAGCAGCCTTGGCCCAGACTGTATCCACCAGGAGCCCCTTCCACAAAGTCTGGTTGGGGCTCCATTATCTCTGAAGGAGCACTGATATGCTAATCTAAAGACATGCAACTTTTCTAGGCAATTGGAAACATGTTAAATTAACAAAAATTCCATTATCCAGAATCTACTGAACATCTTAATGTAGAGCAGGGCAATACACTATAGAGGCCCACCGTTGCTCTCTTGATCATGTGGTTGACTCTAGCTGTGACTTTTCGCCACTGTCCAGCATCAAGACCGAGTAGCACGCTGCCAGTTGCTGGCCCAGGCAGTGGACAATACTCTAAGTATGGTCTCAATGAAGCTGCGTCACTTTCAGACCATTTTAAAGCGACAGTGTCATGAATTGAGGGCCCGCTATAGTCTGCATTTATACAGCACAGGCCAGGAAGGGTACTTACAGTCTAGCTCGTAGGAGGACAAAAACTAAGTTACGTGACTTGAGAATATACCTCTCATGTATGGAACTTCTTAGGACATTAAGTATGGCATTTCAGTTCTTTGTGTCCTTAAGAACTTAACCAAACGGGCAGTTACCTTAATTGTGGAGTGCATATTGTGAGAGCGCAATCTACCTATTTATGGTAATAAATTTCTGTAAAAGGTGAGCATGTTAGTCATTCATATTATACCTATATATATTTTGTAGCAATGTTTTATAGCATATATGATGTACCGGATGCTGCTATGTACCAAACAGTTTCCAACATAAAAGGCTTCTTGCTCTCAAGAGACAAGTGATGGAGTGGGATATGCTAAAGCCTCTGTGGTGTAGACATGACAATAAGAGAAGACAGGTGGAAAGCTATGGCTTTCTGTGGTTAGAGGAGGGCTTAGGGAGAAGTTCTGAATAGGTTTTCACAGGCAGCGAGGCCCATGGGTTGGGGCTGGAGAAAAGGATTCTGGGAGAAAGTGATAGGTATCAAGAAGCACAGCCCTGTGCGGGAGCTGTGGGCATCGCTGTCCTTGTATGGAGTGAGAGGAGGAAAGGGAGAGACAGGGAAGAAAGGAAGTCAGAACAGATAGTAAAAAGCCAGGCTGAGGAACGCGCCTTCTCTGTAAGATAGTGTTGTCACTGAAGGATGTTTAATGGGAAGGCTGAACGTCCCCTTGTACTTTTCAAAGATGTATGGTAAGGATATAAGGATATGCAGGGTGGACTTGAGACAGCAGGCAGCACACAGAATGTTAATCAGTCCTTTTTGGAGTATTTTTAAAATTACAAAAGAGAATGACTGTACTACCTAGCAATAACAGTTGCTTTTGATTAATACCTCCTAGGTTTTTATCCAAATGATTTCGCATGTCTCTGTAAGTATTCTGAACACATTCTTAATAAGAATCCATGGAGGCATAAAAGCCCAAGTGAAAGGGCATGCACTATTGAACAAGAATCGCTGATATGCATGACTTTAGGAAAACTTGGAGCTGGACAGTTCAGTGTTATCTGTTCCCTAGAAGTTACAATAATTGAAAAGGTAAACTTTAAACAAATAATGTCTGGTTAATTACTGAATCAAGTGTCCACAGTTGTGATACACATTAGACATGAGTTAGAAAACCAAGATAAAATGGCTCTTCATATAAAAATGTCATTACATCAAATATTTATTGAAAGTCTTTGTAGTCCAAATGCAGATGTGAGATTACATTAAAATAAATGTTGCTTTTAGTCAACAATCCCAAGTTTCAAACATATGATTCATTTGACAGATATGTTACAGACTAGTAGTAAGATAATTCTTTCTATAAATATATTAAAGGGTCTTTATGACATAATTTATTCTTCAGGATTTAAGTTAATATGATTTATTCTTTGTTATAATTCAAGAGCTTCTGATACTTGACATGAGCAAGCGAACCTTTTAAACTAAACATACTTCTTAGTAGAGACAGTGGAAACTGTTTTCATTGGTAAATCTATAAAAGGAATTGGTTGGCCCAGATCATGGAAGCATTTTCTGCTTAATCTACTTTCTGGGGGGCATGTTTTAATGTCTCATATAAAAACACATGTCAGATGTGTTTATATGTTTTTGAAAAATGTAAAACAAAGCTTGAAATGACCCATTGTTTGCAATACATGCTTTGGTATTTTTAAAAAACACAGTGTCACAAATGATATCGACATACATGTATTTGCCCTATTCAAAACCTGTGAATGATCAGATTATAAAGCATACATTTCATAAAATATAGTATGGGCGGTAAGAAAAGTACAGCATTTAGAAAATAAAATTGTAGTATCTGAAAGTTTGTGCCTGTATGTTTAAAATGGCTTGCAAGTAGTAACTGAAATGATTGCTTTCAAAACACTGAGAAACTATCAACTAGACCAAATAATGGTTCATGATTATTCTGGAAATTTTGTTGACAGAAAAGGAACCCTGGGTTTCATTTTCTCACGCCACCTCTTGTTGTATTCTGCTTTAGGTAACATGCAATGAAGCAGTTTGGTTTTGCTACTGAAGTCTTATTTTCAGAGTTATTAGACTGAGTGGTTGTCTCTATCAGGTAAACTATTGCACGGGTTTTCTTTGTAGTTTGAATTATAGGTAATGCTTCTTCAGCCAAGTTCCCAGTTTTGGAAAAATATTTATCTAAAATGCCTGGAAACGGGGGAATACACATTAGTAATATTTTCCCCGTCCGGGCTGATACGAGTGGTTTTAACTTGACCAATCCAAGCTGTGCCCTGCGGAAGTTCTCATCCAGGCAAGAAAATTGCTCAGATGCAAGTTCAGCGCCAGCAAGTAACTGTGAGTCCTCAGCACCTCTTTCTTGCTCTCAGGACACGGGGTGGGGAGAGGTAAAAGTACTCCCAGCTCTGGTGCCCTCCTCTCACCCCGTCAGTGGACCTCTCTTGGAAATGTGGCTGGGGACCCAGAAAATGGGATGCAGAGGACGTGAGCTGATTTGGTTAATCTCAAAACAGTTCTGCATTCCACTCAGCTTGTAGCTGAAGTCCAGCTGAGAGCCAGAAGCTCGGGTCCTGCCAGTGCCCACCCTTCCTCCCTCCCCAGGCTTCTTGGTTACCTCTCACCTCCTGGACGCCAGGTGACCTGCAGCAAAATACAAGAGAGGAAAACACCTACCCTGGTGATGACCAAAGGCTGGTTGAAGTCTATGCCCCCAGAGAGTCTGAAGCCCCAGGGCGCAGGGCCCGGAAGGACCACAGTCTGGGGCATGATGCTTTCCCGCGAGTGGGTCCAGCAACGGGTGCTCTGCACAGTGCGAGTCCCGGAACCGGACAACCCGCTTGACTCCTGGGGCTGCGACCTAGCTGGGATTGCGGTCGGGGAGTTTTATCCCTGCTGCGGGGTGACGTCACTGGCCTCCTCTCCTCCCCGCCCCCTCCCACCAAGGAGAGCTCCAACTTTGGAAGTGAGAGACAGCGCCTGGCCAGAGGAGCTCCCAGCTGGGTGCAAGTCTTCCAAACCTCTCCCCGCCCAAGGAGGCTTCGGGTTACAGCCTCCATCATTCCCTAAGTAACACCTGTCCTCCTGTTTAAAGTATACTTGCTCAGCAGTGCATTTTACTGGGCAGTTAAAAGCATCACGCCACAGCCTCCGTGCTTTCAATTAAAACAAAACACAAAGCACATCCAGGCGCTCAAGAATTTAGCAGTTTTGAGCGCGCTGAAGCTTTCTTACTATCTAGCTTTGGTCAAGTTAAAGTCTTCATTTCTTCGTCTGTAAAACAGGAACAAATATTGTATTTGTAGGAGCACTGCGAGAATTAGGCGGCAATAAAATGAAAAGTTTCTGCGCAGCGCCCCACACAGCATAAAGAATAAATAGCAAGCGTTTCTACAAGTAAAATATGTGTTCCCAAAGAGGCACGTCTGACTTTGTGATATAGACATGACTTTGTTATTTGTGAGGTTTACACCCTGTGAAGTTTACACTTGGAATTAGCCCCTCTCTTGCCCCCTACCCCACCCCCTATCCCCAATCAAAATCTCAAGATGCGTTAAGCAAGTTTTGTTTTGAGTTTGGGCTATGTTCATAGCTATCCCCAGAGGCAGGTGGCAGGATCTTCAGGTTGGACGACTGTTTGCTATCTAAAGGCAAGATCTAGGTTTTGCAGCTTCTCTGTCTGGGTACCTCAGCCAAAATGAGGGTGTCTATGGAAGTGGGAAGAAAAGGGACCCAGAGGACCTCGGGACTGATGTAAATGGCAGTGGGCCATCAAGGAGATGAGTATTTGCTGATCGCCTCTGTGGTCCAGGTGTGGTAAGCATTGCTTTAACCCGTGTCTTCATTTCATCTCTATTCCTCTTGCTATGGCTGGTATAATTTCTCACGCCAGGGAGTAGCCTCTCTGAATTGGAATAGCTCATGTAAGATCACATAGCTAACACATGGCAGAAGTGAAATAAACACTCTAGATGGGCTCAGCTCCAGCTTCCTCCTGGTATGGGAATGGAGGTCGGGAGAGCCTGGAGAGCATCCTGGTCTGGATGCAGTGTGGAACTGAGCACAGCTGGTGCTACATATGGGTCAGCATGTTCCGCTTCCCAGGAAGAGAGGCCAGGATGTGGAAAGAGAAGTATGAGCTGCTTTAAAAACCCAAGAAGGAGGGTCTTGAACTTAATGTTCAATAGCATAGGGCCGTAGTGACCTAAGAGAGCGGAACCCTTTCAGTAGAGCACTTTGTTCAGATGCACTTGGAGAAAAGAGGTTTAAGAATCTGTAAACAGAATGCATCAGTCTGGGAAAGCGTGCATCCCAGAACCAGGAATGGCATTACTTTACCCACTGTGATGGCTTGTCCGGGCCTCAGGGGATAGATGTTTTCCAGTGCCCCACCTATGTTGAATTATCAGTAAAATAAACATAACATATTCTGTTGATTTTGTCTACTTTGTATGGGTCTATGATTGCAGAACTCATTTCCTCTGTTGGCCACTGGCTAGGTTGTTGTATATATACACACACACACAAACACACACACACACACACACACACACACACACACAGATGTGCACACACACATTACTGATGCAAAAAAAGTGAGACATTGTTTGATGTCGAGTAATTGCCATCACCCGGTTGTTTATACCTGTCTCACGACCTGACTCATAAGAGAGGATGGTTACACTGTATTTCTTTATGTTTGTATCAAATACGTGGTGCCATTAAATTAGAGCTTCTTCAACTTTTTTCACTAATGACTCATTTTTACCCAGGAACTTTTATATGAACCTGAACACACACACACACACACACACACACACACACACACACACACACACATACATGCGTGCATACATTCATACACAGATACATAATATAAAATAGGATAGAGAATAAAGAAATCTACTTGAAAAAAATTTGTTGGCATGCATATACTCTGAAGGAAAAAAGCAAGTTTACGTGCTAATGAGGTGGACACACTTACTTATTTTTACATAAACATTTAAAGCCTGCCTGAATATTGGGTACTGCAGAACACAGATTATCTTTATGGCTTTCAGAGTTGAACACTATTTTACCTTTATAATTGTGAATCACTTCCTATAAATATGTAGGATTGAATGATACAAATATGTTTAGGGCCATGCCAGAAGGTTTTAAAAATTCTGTGTTAATTTTAAGCCAAAAATCATTTAGTAATTTTTGTATTGTTTGAGTCTGTGGCTTAGACCACAATTAAAAAAATTAAACATCCTAAGACTTAGTTGAATAGTCTTTCATTCATTTTCATTTTCTTTCTTTTTTTTTCTTCTTTGTAGAGGAAACAACAGAACAGTGTCTTGTAGTGATGGAACGAGAATGATGATAGAAAATCGTTAAAAGCTTTTGTTTTCTGTGATTAAACCGTTATGTTTCTCTAAAAGCAGGACATTTTTGTAGAGCGAGAACCTTTCGGTTCGTCTCACACACAGTCCGTTGAAGCTGAGTGGGAGGGTTTTCGGCAGCCTTTGTTAGTGTTGCATTGTGCAGTGGCAAGGGCACCTGTGTTTTCAGATCCCAAACTAGAACGCAGCCTGCAGATGTGACATATGCCAGCCTTTCCAGAAACACTTCAGATTCATTACAGTGAATTAATCTGGGGGCATTGGGTGGGGATGGGAGCTTGTGTCCACTCCCCATCTCACGGTTGGCGCCCTATTTGTCTTAGACCTGTGCATGCTGCCACAGCCCCTGGGAGTTCATATATGCACCAGCCCTGCTGTGTCTGGAAGGCATGTTCTCTTGTCTTCCATCCCCGCTGGCTCTTACAATCTTTCCTCTTCTGCATATATCCCTGAGCACTAAGGGCAGGGATTTGATGGAGACATCCCATTTAGGGGTGAGTGTTCCAAGGTCTCACAGTCTCTGCTCATTGTTTAGTTGTGGGTCTCCATATTTGTTTCTGCATTCTCTGATGATGGTTAAGCAAGACACTGATCTGTGAGAATGGGAGAATGTCCTTAGGAGTCATTCTGTTGCTATGTTCCCTTAGCAGAATAGTAGCTTTTGATTTCCCCTAGGTCCATGGCCTGTCTAGACTCAGGTTCTCAGCTACCAACGTGGTGTCAGGTTATGAGTTCCATTTCATGGAATGGGCCTTAAATCCAACCAGATAGTTGATGGTTTCTCCCATTTTTTTTTTGTGCCACCATTTCCCCAGTGTGTTGGAGTAACAGTGACATAATCAAAGGGAAAGAGGTCAAGAAAAGCTTTGTGAGGTCCGGTGTAGGTAGGCAATGCTATTAGGCAAAGCCCTATTCTTTTGGTTCTTTTAGCTTTTTGAAACATGTACCTAGCTGGCCCAGAACTCACTATAGAGTCCCTCCTTGCCTCAAACTCATGACAACCCTTTTGCTTCAGACTCCTGAGCACCAGCATTGTAGCCTGTACCACCACGGAAGAATTCTCCCAAGTTCTTATCTTTTTCAAGGGAGTAATTAAGCCAAGAGACATGGGATGTTTAAACAGAAGTTTTATTTATTTAGCAAAGCAAAGCAAAATATTCCAGAGAAAGATGAGTGGGGCTAACTTGAAGGGTCATAGTGGCCCACTGAGTAATGCTTTGTTTTTCTTGTTTTGTTTTGCTTTTCAAGACAGGGTTTCTGTGCATAGAACAGGCTCTTCTGGACTTGTAGACCAGGCTGACTTGAACTCACAGGGATCTGTCTGCCTCTGCCTCCTCTTGTCTGGGATTAAAGGTGTGTGCCACCATGCCCAGATTGCACTGTAGATTTTGAAGAAGTTTTTAATGGTTCATTTCTCCTTCTGATGTCAGCATTAAGTTCTTCCCTTTGGCTACATACGACCTTCATCATAGCCTTTATTAGTGTTGCTCTGGGGTCCAGATGTCCCTGTGATTTTTCTTTCTCTGCGTATCAAGATGTTCTTTGATGGGTAGGGATAGTCATCATGACAGTGCCTTCTGATGTGGTGGGAAGAACGTAACTGTAGCTATAGAGTTACAAAGGGACAGTTTAACCATCTACTGAGTTACAAAGGGACATTTTAACCATCAAGGGATGAAGCTACCAGGATATAGCATAAGTCCCCTTGTCACCTGATATCTGATTCCCAGCAAAAGCCTTCTCCTTCCTGATCACGTCTGCCCAGTTATTTTAAAACTTTTAATTGACTCTTTGTGAATTTCACATCATGTACCCCAATCACACTCATCTCTCCATCCCCTCATACTCACCCTCCACCTTTGCAACCTCCCCCCAACAGAAAAAAGTCTCAATGTGGAAGCTGTAGTGTGTCACAGTGTGTCTCACAGTATACCCTTCTGTCCATACATCTTTGCTTGCAAATTCTCATTGCAATGAGTCATTGGTCTGGGTACAAGGCCTCTGGCTTCTGCTACTCCATCAATACTGGGACTCCTCTCAGATGTCCTGTTGTTGCCCTGTGTCATGGAGATCCTGTAGTTTTGGATCTGTAGGACTGGCCTCTTCATGCACTCCAACAGTTCATCCATGGGGCAGATGTTGGGCTGGGCCAATTCAAAGCCCTGGACTGGGGCTGAGAAATATCTGAGCTGGTTAGCCTGCTGGATTTCCCATCCTCCCACCCTCAGGCCAGTTCATTAGCACTCACACCTCCAACCCAGGTGCAGGGCCAGTTCTCCTGAGTGTTGGCAGCTTGGTGACAGACAAGGTCAGTCCTCTTACTCTCATGGCTCCCGGGTGAGGGCGGGAGACACTCTACCTCAGGGACACTGTCCCGCAGCAGACAAGTTGGGGGACCAGCTCTCCCATGCTCACACTTTTGGGCTGGCTCACCCATGCTCCCCCTCCATCAGGGTCACCTCT